GGGAGTGCGTGGGACATCAAACGAGCCTTGATTCGAGTAGACACCTATAGGCCTTGTACGAAAGGATATCAAAAGTCTACAGAACTAACTACAGGAAGTGTCTCAATATATACCTATCCTAGTCGGGTCCGAACCGGATCCGAATAGGAACACATAGCTGATGAAGGGGCGGCAGACACTTCCTCCGATCCGGCTCTGGGATTGGCTCAATACTTGGCGAGGCTGTAACATCGTTACAGGTTTTTGATCTGATCTAGGGTGCGGCAGCACACAATTGGTTAGATAATTAGAACGTATTTCTACCTTCCTATCTATTCAAGAATTCATTCCCATATTTACTATGATAGATAAGTGGAACAACGTTTGAAACTATGTTCAGAAAGGGCGTACCTGACCCCAAAGTTTCCTACAGAAGATTCGCGCGTATCTAACACACTAGTTTTCATGCTAATGCAGTAGCCATTCATGACTAGCCTAAACCATAAAATAAGATAAGTTGGAGAGTTGGTGTTCATTTAAATAGCTTGGGCATGCTGATAGTCGCACTCGGGACTTAACTCGACCTAGACCGATGCGCATGCTCGAACACACTGTACGCGTAACAGGACTTGAATGAGTTTGCGATCGGGACGCGTGAGAGATGGCCATCTCGACCCCTGAACGCGACCGCGACCGCGAAGCGACATCCTTGCCAGCCGAGCTGCTAGCACCACTGAAGAGGCGCGCAAGAAACACCACCGAGCAAAACGAACACTACCGCAGGCGACCCCTACAGCTAGACCTATCAGCCGACGACTCCGACACNATCCAGATCGAAAGCAGCCAACCCACCCGTCAAGCTAGGAAGGGCACCGCCACCAACAAAGATCTACTTACCGCGTTAACTAAGATTATCCAGCAGCAGAATGAAACAATCCAGAACCTCGAACGCGAAACAAGAGAGATTAGCAAGAACCAGCAAGCGATTATTAACCACAATGTGAAACTTATTGAGGAGATCGCTGAGCTGAAGACACGCGTTGATGACCTCGTGGCAACAACTCCACAAGCGCACCCGCAGGACTAAACGCCACAGCCGCGCCGCTAGCAAGCCAGCAGCACACTACCAGAACCAACCTCGCTTCTATCGACGTGCCCAGCGTCACTGTAGACATCTCCAGGGCAGATGGCGAAAATGGCAGATTATCAGCAGGGTCGGTCAGAGCAGCTGTGGAAAAAGAGATGCGCACAATAGAGAACCGAGAAAACTGGCGATGCCGGGTGGTCAC